TGTAGGTCCACTCTCCAAACCACCCCAACACCACCGACAACCCATGCTCAGGCCCAACACGGCCCACGACCCCCAACACCACCAACAACCCAGACCTAGGCCCAACACGGCCCATGACCCAGGCTCGTCGGTCATCTCCTCAGTCCGGCACCAGGAGAAAAGAGACGAGACCACCACAAAGAGGTAGATCGAGGCGACAACCCTCACCCTGAGACACACCAGAGCCCACCATCACGAACCCACCGGAGAATCGATGACCATCCACTCGCCATGGCGACCAAAGTGGTGAACTCCACTCGGGGACGACCCAACTCCTTCGTCGATGAACCCTTACGGCTCTGGGTGGCGCCTCTCAAAGATCCAAGCCACACAGCCCAATGTCTGCCACCGTCGTGGCTACCCAGCAAGAACGACTGGAGAAGGCACACATTGCATGCTTACGAAGACGGTATATAAGGGATTTGGGCGAAAAATTGGGGGAGAGTGAAAAAGAAATGAAAATCCTAGTTACTAGTGACATTAAGAGATTTTATTTTATTTTTTTATTTTTTAAATTTGAGACTTTAAGAAAACTTTGGATTTGGAACGAATCCTAATATGACCATAAAGTCTTCTGTTGTATTTCTCGACTGTTGGATTCTATAAGCAATGTCGAATTTATGAAACTCACATATTCATCTACTAAATAAATCAAAGTGTAGCGGAACTAGAGTTAAGGTTGAACACTTACGATCTAAAACTTTTCAAAAACTCTATACAGAATACATGACTTAGGGGCCTGATGAGTGACAAATTGGGAAAAAATAGGTAGGCCTTTTCTGAGCGGTCATTTAGAGGCCTTGTTAGCGACCCATCATTCTTCCCTAAGCTGTCAGAGTCCGATCGAAGCGAGCGTGGATCACAGTGATCACCGCAGCTCGGGGGTTCTGTGGATACTGTGCCTGAGGCTAAAGGTTGTGTCCTCCTGGTCTACGGAGTGGATACTCACGGAAACTAGGCTTTAAGCCTTTGCCCAAGTTACTTAACAGATAGTTTCACTCATGTGCGCTGGAATTCTCCGTGGCTGGTATTCATACTTGACAGATTCAAACTTGACTGGCTGCTTCTCCCGGTGCATTGAAACTATTCCTACTATTCAGGTCCTTCTCTAGCAGGATCAGTTACGGACCACCTCCGGAGGTCCCTCCTATATAGGGGTGGTATCGGTTCGGTTACTGAACCGATAAGCGTATACCGATATCGTATCGATAATGTCGGTAACCTCGGGATGAAAAACCAATATCGAACCGATTAAAGTCGGTTACCAAATATTCAGTAACCAAAACCTCGGTTCGGTTTCAGTTCGGTATCGGTTTTATACCGAAAAAATCAAACCGATTTTGAACACAAAAAAAATGCTAGTGTTTACTTTTCTCGTCATTTTTGTAATTTTTTACACTTCTTCCCAATTAAATACATACAAAAGACTCACAAATCCATTGAAGGATTAAAAAGTTTAAATTTAATATATTAAAGTTAGTTTATATATAATTAGATTATAGTTTTTGTGGTAAACGCAACTAATAAAACAATATATTGCAA